CGATTTCTGATGAGAAATCGCACATATTTTTACCTTTAATACATTTTAAAGTGCTTGTTCTTTCTAAAAGAAAAAAATGCTTTAAAACATATTTTAATCGTGTGTACGTGTTTGTGCCTATGTGAACACATTTTATGGTCGTGTCCCTTGAGCCGTGGCATGTTTGTACATAATGGGCAGCTAAGTACGTTATGTCACATTCTCCTAAGAGTAATTTTAATGGAAACACAGATTTTGGTATTTTGTCTTTTAATGGTTCCACTGCTATTTTCAAAATAAAAAAGCTGCAATGCTTCCACTAAATGTTTCTCTGTAATGTACGTGTTCTGACCTCAGAAAATTACCTCTTGGTAATCCTAGTAGACTAGCTGAAAGCAATTCTATAAAGAATAAAAACAAAAGAACACAGTGACCTAAATATGTCTTCAGATATAAAAGAAAAGCTGGCCTTTCAAGGTGATACTGTTTATTAAACCAGAAGCTGGGACCTTTTGCACAAGCTCACAGCTTGCTGTTGAAATTCACACTATAAAATCTGGCACAGTATGTATACAAAATTTAACTGAATGCTGTGCAGTGCAATGCTGTGAAAAAAAAATCACTTCACATAGTAAGGACTTAAGTGTGAGGAGATATTTGAATTGAGCTAAGACAAAAGCCCTTTTCAAGGGTAAGGGGTTGAGATGTAGGTTGTGCTATATTTGAAACATTAAGTGAAATAGGGCTTCATGAGAAACATGAGCAGATATAATGGACTGCTGTGTTGTAATGTAAGCTTTGTGATTTCCTGCTCAGTTGCTATCAAAAGACTAGAATAAAGCTTTTTGAAACACAAAAGCCGTAGTAGTCCAGAATTTGTCCCACGTGTCACAGCTAGCAAAAGGAAGAGGGCTATGAAGGATGTTAGTGACCGTGATATCTGACTACTCACTGTGATTAGTTTGTCTTTTTGAACTTGTGATGACACTCAAGGGAAGCATGTGTTCATATTCCAAGGCTGCACATTTATAATGACTACATACTTTGGAGGTTATTGCATATCTGTAAATGAATAAGTAGAATCTGCAGGAAAAATACTTTTCAGATGTGAGTTTTCTCATTCTGTATGCTGGTATACTATTCACTAATCATGTTTTAGCAGGCGTTGGTTGCATGCAAGTACACAGTCTTTGTGAGGAACAAAAGAGGGAACTCATTAAACTACCACCTATCATCTGACAATGATTTAGGTTAATTCATCTGAATTCATAAGCTATAGCTGGCAAACTGAACACAAATTATAATATATTAGCCTAGGCTGGGGTTAAGAAAAAACAGAAACCCACTTGCATAATGGGATCCATTCCTTTTGGTGGTTAAACGATCTTTTGTCTTTCTTTTTTTTTTTATGCTGAAAGAAGCAAAGCATTTAGAAGAAAAAACCCAGACTGGATCAATACAAATGGCTTTAAGGTAGAGGTCTGCTACTATACTCTGAAATGCTCATCTGTAAGGTTCAATCCCTGCATCCAAATCATGTGTAAATGCAATGCGTAGTCATGGAAATGATTAGTTTAACTCAGAAGCCCTGAACTGCACAATAGTTTCACGATAAAGCCTGTATTTTGAGAGTATCAGTGGCATGACTGTGGTCATTCCATTGAAATCCTCTGTGTTGCAGTCACCCTACAACATTTCAGAACTAACATTGAGAACAGTAATTGATGTGTTTTGACTGTTGTAAATGAATAGATTCTTTTCAAAATAATGACTGAATAATTAGTCATAATTAAGTATGCTAACAAGAGCTGATTTATTAAGTGATTTCTCCATACCGGCTTCATCAGTGTTCACTGCATGCCAGGCTTTATTTTAATGATGCTGTCTGTCCCAATCAGCGTCAAGCCATTTCTGCAAAGAAAAAAGTCAATTATGAACCTTTCAAAGTACCATGCTCTGTTGACGCTGTTTCTGATCTTGCACACATCTTACACACAATTCTGCATCCATAATAAAATAGTTACGAAGAAAGGACAGACTATATAGAGACTACAAGCCAGTGGTTGATGGAGTTTCTTCACCTTCGTACTCTCTATTAAGGTTAGGTAAAGAATATAATGAGCTGTTACACTTGATAGATTGTATATGTTATATACTGAACAGCATAAGAGCTTAAGTATTACATGTCTTCCAATACCACACTCATAAAAGGTTATCAACCATTAAAACAAGACTTTCTGTTCTGCTGTGGATAGATTTGTAAAGGTATCTAATTATGTAAGTAGAGTTAATAATAAGAAAGGCATCTGTGAAGCAAGGAGTACCAACAATAGGCCTGATGTCTGTGGTTATTAACGTAGTAATGTTGGAGATTTCAGTACTGGTAAATTTGGTTACACCTGCATTTACTGGTTGTAACAGAAATGACGGATTGAAAGCACAACTGCACAATTCTGGAGTTGATGAATAAAATTATTGTCATTTTAATAAATAAGGAGGAAGTCGACTTTCTCCATATTTCCATAAGAAATCCTAATTTTTTTTATGCAACAGAGAGGCACAATGGAAGCTAAAGCTGTTTACCTTGCTTGGAGGTTGAAGTTTATTTTATCTTAAAGAAAATAAGTTGAAACTAGGCAAGAAAGTCCTGCATCGGCTACAATGTAAATTTTAAACTGGGAAATCAAAGGGGAAAAAACAAAACAAAACATGATCCAATGTCTATGGCACTCACCAAACAATTTATTAGGTACACCTTGCTAGGTATACCTTCAGAGCTGCCTTAATTCTCGATGGCACCGATTCCACAAGTTGCTGGAAGCATTCCTCATAAATTTTGGTCTATACTGACATGATGTCATCACACAGTTGCTACAGATGTGAATCTCCCATTCCACCACATTCCATAGGTACTCTGTTGGATTCAGAGCTGGTTACTGTGGAGCCATCAGTGAACTCATTGGCATGTTCAAGAAATCAGCGTGAGATGATCTCAACTTTGTGACAAGGCCCTTTATCATGCTAAAGCAGCCCTCAGAATAAGCCTTGTGCTCATTAAGGGATGGACGTGGCCAGCAACAACACTCAGGTAGGTCTTTAACCTATGTTTAGCTGGTACTAAGGGACTCAAAGCATCCCACCATCCTGAGCCATTGAGCTTGTGTGAATTGTAGCCTATCTGCTTTAAGGTTTGCCATGCTAATTCTTGTAGCGTGGTTATTTGAGTTACCCTTTTTCTTCAAATAAGCTCAGTGTCATTTGGCCATTCTCCTCTGACATCAGCAAGGCATTTTTACCCAGAGCCACCTCCACTGCCACTCACTGGATATCTTCTCTTTTTCCAGACCTTTCTCTGTAAACCCTATAGATGGTTTTGTGGGGAAATCTCAGTAGAGCATCAGTTTCTGAAATATTTTGACCAGCTTGCCCGTCACCAAACACCACACTGCACTCAAAGTGACTTAAATAAACTTTCTTCCCCATTCCGATGTTCTATTTGAACTTCAGTAGGTCATCTTGACCACATCTACATGCTTAAATGCAATGAGTTGCTGGATTTAATTGGTTTATTAGATATTTGCATCAATGAGAAGCTGAAGAGGGGTACCTAACAAAGTGGCCAGTGAGTGTATACTTGACATTTGACAAACTGGAGACGTGTGTTTGGTTATTCATCTGCTGGTATGAGAATTTTCACAGTTCACAACATTATATTTTTGTTGCAATGCTGTTTTAAGATGTTGGTGTTATTGCACTGAACACTGAAATCCCTCACAATGAAAATGACTGCAGTACTTGTTTGGCAAACTCACTGTAGTCATCATAGGTGCGAGTGGATAGATTTCTTTGTTTTCCTTTGTTCTATATCCATAAATAACTGAGACCACGTCGTATTTGAAGTCGGATACAAGCAAAAAATGTTAATAAGCTGTAAGACATACAGTTGTACTTCCGGATGTTTCCTCCCTGAGTAGCTAATTAAAAGACATCTTTTTGATCTCATAATAGCTTTGCTGCCAGGGTAAACAAAGCAAGTGACAATGACACAATAATGGATTTTAGCATTTCAAGAGAGGCTAGAACTTAAACACTGGTCTATTTTTAACTGTTTGTTAAGCAGCACCTTTAGGAACGATATTCTTGGGATAATTAACACATCTTAGATTTTGCAACTCCACAAATATTTCTTGATAAAAAAAAAAGAGTATTTTTCTGAGGTTTCTTTTCACTGCTAAACTCTCCATCTACATTGTCTGGCAACATGAAATATGATGAGACATAAAAGATATTATTTCTCTCAAATAAACAAACATCAAAACAAAAAAAAAACCCGCAGTGAAATCCAATAAAAATGGCCTATAACAAACTTTGGTTGTGAAAAAAGCAGAGTCAAAGGACATTTTGTGATCTGAGCTTTCTTGTTTAAATCTTTCAAATTTCATTGTGCTACATTTTTGTCAATAATGGGGCTAATTTATACGGTGAGTAACTATTATGTCTGATTAATTTATAGCACCCTGTCAGAAGTAGGCCGCTAATCTTGCCATCACATTAATTTCAAAATTGCGTTAACTGAGTGTCAGACAGGATTTTTTCTAAAAAAGAAGTGAAAGTAGGTTATTCGCCTATTGGATTTCATGAGTGGCAGGTAAACGACAACAGCTATTTACAATAAAAATAGCAGGTGAGAATTGTTTGAGTCACCTGTGCCGATTTAATTATTCCAGTTACCATCGGCTCTTGTTTGTTTTTACAGACAAAAGGTATATTAAAAAAAGTACTAGGTACCTCTGTCGGAAGGCTTAGGAAAAATGACTGGTTAGTTAACCTTTGGTCAGGTATCGCTTTATAAGACATGTCAAATTTGGAGTGTGGGGTTAATCTGTATTCTAATAGGGATTTTGTTCAGGTTAAGGTAAACGGAAACACACAAACAACATAAACAGAAACACTCGCGAGATTTGAGCTCTACAAGCGGGACTTTGCCGGTTGCTATGGAGACGTGTCCAGAGTTAACTAAACTGGTGTTCCTCAACTGCCTATATCATTTGAGCAGGGGTGTACGCCCACGTCAAAAAGTATTTTCACACCGCTGACGTTGTGTCATGTAAAATGTTCAGGAATAATTATCAGGTAAGCTTATTTTAACCGAATCAATTTAGCCCTTTATTTACTAAAATTCTTGCCCTGTGTATAAAAATACAATTTCCTCGGAGCTGATATGAGCTTCAGGCTGATGTAACATCGACTGCAGGCTAGCGAGAACTAGTTGTTTCTTGCAGGGTGGAGCTGTGGTTGAGATCTTCAGTGGACAAGGAAAAGACCCTGCGGCTAAATGGAAACTCTGCGGAGGGCCGTCAGCCATATATAAAGTTAGTTATTTATTTTTTTAGAGCTGTTTGTTTAACTTACTATTAGCTTATTACCAGTAACGTAATCACACTAACCTAGGCTTTATATCCTCTCAAAGACAAACTGGCACCTGCATATGAGGACTGAAACAATTGCATTTCTCTAAACATATATGCTACAGACTTATTCAGATAAAAAGCAAACAAACAAAACTAAATACACAAAATAAATTTTGGATCTCAGAGAGCAGTTACACAACAGGTAGTCTTCTGGTCATAACACACGGAGACTGAGCAATTCCTCTTATGCATTATTTTCTCCCTTAGGAGTATAATAAAGAAGTCAAAGGATGTGTTTACTGTCTGGATGGAAGCAGCCAGACAGTCAAGATGCAAATGCCAGAGAATGGCAAAATGTCTCGTAAGTCTCTACTACTTTCATACAAGTGTGCAACTTGTTGTTTTGTTTAATTCTAAATATTAATAGTAACTCGTTCTTTTCGTTTGTTTGTTTTTTTCTTAGTTGGACTTCTCCAAAGATTTTTGGTGCTTCAAGTCAATGTTTCTCACGGTCATGACTTTTCTGCTGAGCTTGTGTAAGTAGCGCAGAGATTGTTCTTATGGTACAAATGTTATAAATGTTAATTCAATTGACTGACTTCAACATTTTGGTATAAATCTTTAACATTCTGGCTGAAAAATGTATGCGAGCAGAACAAAATAACATTTTATGTACTCACTTAGAGTACTTGCTTATTGTAATGTACAGTGAAAAATGCTTTTCCAGTAATGTACAGTGTGACAAAGAAATAGTGATTGAATAACAATGGGCTCACAGTGAAAACAGCTTGTTTACATCTGGTAGGAAAAAACCCATCGAGCCACTTAGAAAACAAAGTGCCTCATTGACTGTTATGTAACAGCCTAAATAACCATTTATTATTAAGATATTGTTCAACAATTTGTCACAAAGAAGGCTTTTATCTTGTGTGCCACTATAAATTCTGAACAGCCACATTATTACAATGTAGAATGTGAATGTCAAGTGCTCGCTGTTTTTCTCCACAGTTTGCATTTAGTGGCTCTGATTGCATAATGCAATTGTGTGTTCATATATCGTCACTGCAGCATTTAGTCACTGAAAGAAGAATGCCACTCTACATTGTTTCATTATTTCAATCTTTATTCTATTTCAGTCTAATTTGGTAAATTCTATATTTACCCCAAAAAATCTTTGGTAAACTGCAGCTTACAGTATGCAGTAGAAACTGCTGTTTGGATATCAAGAGCATCAGGGAGAGATATTGCCTGAAATGATTTTCTTACACTTACCTGCTTATTTACTCGCACACTATTTTAAGAATTGGTGAAAACATTGTGTGTCGTTGTTCTTCTTCCATTTGAGTATGTCATGACAGCTGATTTCACAGCGTGAGATAAAAGTGAAAACATCTTTAAGAGCTTACTCTAGAGACCAATAAAGCTTTTTGTTTTCACAGGTCATGATTTCTTAGTGGCACTACTGATGCTGGTGATAATTCATGTTCTACTTTGCTGTCTGTTAATCACAGGATAACTGATTCAGAGGGCCTAAAAAGAAGACTCCACTTATCAACAGTGCATAAAGAGGTGTCTGCCACACTTTTGCATGCAAAGATACCTTTTGTTGGACTGAAACGCAATGTTGTGAGTATCTTATTCATCTTTGACATTCCTTTAGTATTAAATTTGCTGTCAGCTGTTTGTTTGTTTGTTTTTTGTTTGTTTGTTTTTTTCCTTCTCCATGTTTCTTAGTAGGTATTGATCTTTATCTGTGTGTGGTGCTTTTAACTACAAATTAATATTGTATGTGTTGTCTCAGTGGTCAACATTATGCATCGACCTTGTATCACTGAGCGGTGAACTGTTCAAGGGATTTTTGACACTGGATGGCATCACGTTGTTCGCTACCTGCAAAGTCCGGAGAATCTTCACTGTAAGAACGGAGCATGCAGGAATGTCAGATGATGGTAAAGTAGATGGTTGCTGGTTTCAAATTTTGAAGTTTTATCGACTTACCCAATACGCTACTCCAAATGTGTTTAATAAAGATACAGTACCTAAGTACTTGCCACAGAAGCAAGCCAGTGGTCTTTGTTCTTGTGGGTTTGTGTGAAATTATGTTTGTGTGTTTGGAGAGATAGAGAGACAAACAGTTGGCTGTTTTTCTGTGGCTGGCTGAGAACTCAGTGGTAGATTTTGTTCAAGGCTGATATGGCTCAGCAGTGATAACAGCTGCACATTACTGGCTGCCTACTGCACACCTACTCTATCTACCAAAAAGGGTGTCTTGGTCAGTTCGTATTTTTCAGTTGATCAAAGTGTTACTTTTGTGGTGTGATGTTATATATTGTAATAATGTGTTTGAGCTTATTTTATAGCTAATATTAGTGTGAGATTGTTACTTTTTCCAATCTAGACATGTTTCGCAGTGGAGCTGGTCTAATGGACTTAATCCCACGCAGTTGCCAGTTCCCACCAGACGTGAACCAAGTCATTCAGGTGTTCAACAGGGAAAATGTGCGAAAGACAGATTTGAGGACTGGTCTTTCTAACTCTGACTGTGGTACGTAAGATAAGACACAAACAAAAAACATTTTGAGAATTGTAATTTCATCAAAAGTAACCATAAAGCGTGCAAAGTGTAAACTGTCATTAAAATCATATATGAAGTAGCTGTTGCTTTGTTTAACAAAGACGATTTAGACTATTTGGAGTAGGACCCTTTGTTTTTGAGATTGGTAGTCTTTTCAGCAACAGTTTGGAGGAAGGAGTTTTATCTGGAAGGATAACAGTACCCCTTTGCACAAAGCCAGGTTTGTAAAGAAAAAGGCTTTATAAGTTAGGTGTGAAGTAATTTTTCTGCACAAAATCTGAGTTCAATGCCACTGAGCGCTGTTGGGATAAATTGGAGTGCAGACTCAAAGACAGGCCTTATCTTCAGCATCAGTGCCTGACTCCACCAACAATGTTGTGGATGAAATCCCTGCAGCTGGATTTAAAAATCCGTGCAAAGCTCTTGACCCCAGAGGAGATGTGATAGTTACTATAGCATAATAGTGGTGTGTTATAACATTTCAAATTAATGTAATGTTCACAGGGTGAACAGAATTTGTCAGATATTTTTGTCCTTTAGTGTAGGTCTTCTTTAATGGATTACAGCAGGTTCATAGCGTTGATTGTTTTGAGAGTAACATTGAGAGTACACAATATGAGCCACAGTCCACCCATGAACTTACTTATTTATACAGATGAATAGGAAACGGTTCACAAATGGTTGCATGTAGAGAAAGTGTTTGCTACAAAGGCACTGTGATGATAATCACTTTGTTTTCCTGGAATGAAATTCCCGTGGTCTTCATTTTTGTGTTCATTTGTGCCTCACCTGTACTCAAGGAGCTGCAATTATCTCCTCATACAAAAAGACATGCACCAGTAATCCACTTCTGTCACCTTTGTGGCCTTTTTTATCAGTGCATATTTATTTGTTCTGACAGCTGTCTAAGTCATGTTGAGTCAACCAGCAGTGCCCATAGAAGAGAGCAGTAACCATGCACAAGAAATATCTTTTCATAATTAGCATCTGCATTATTAGCATAACATTCCTAATCATAATTAAAACGATTGCTATTAAAGTAGGCATCCAATTTTGAATTTGACAGAATTGCTGGGTGAATGCTGATCCTTCAATAGCCAAAGTGTCAGAAACTGTTAAAAGTAAGCTACAGCACTTTGTATCATGCAACAACAAACAAGCCCTGATTATCTCTGTGCTTCAGCAAAGACGTTCTCTTAATCCCAAAGACAAAAATTTCTCAGAAATTAAAGTCTGTTCTAAAAATATTTGTAGCTTATGCAGACATAGATCTTGTTGTAGTTCTTGCGGTTATATCACTCTTTTTCAAGTTTCAGGAGGAATGTACACATTCCAGCAGTAAAGTTCAATTAATTTAACTTGCTGTATCCCACAGGGGCAACATCATCTCTTTCTCTTCTTAAATCCACCAAAGCTCTGCCTGTTTTTTATTGTAGTGTGTATGTGTGTGTGTGTGTGTGTGCATGTTTTGTGGAGAGCAAAGTATTTGCTCACTCTTCTGATGAGGCTTTACAAGAAAGTGTGTTTGGCTGTTAACATCAGCAGAGGTGGTCCTGATGAGTCCTGGCACAGATACAGCGGGGTCAAGTTGTCGCCATATCACATCTCCCACTGTAGCCCATTATTTTCACATGATGAAATGGAACAGATTGTTAGATTAAAGAAAAACATCCGTTATATCAGCTCAGCAGTAGAGTCAAATTTGTATCCAATCATTAATTTTCATTCCTCATAAAATATTTTGCCCATTAGACTCTAATTAAAATGCTAAGCATTAGTAAAGTGCATAGTATTTTCTTGATTGATTATGTTTGCAATATAGTTTAAGAAATTTAATTAAAAAAACATATTGCAGTATATAATCTACATAAAAGGGAACGTTCTAAAGATTTTTATTCACAGTTACAAAGGGACTTTAAGGGATCTTTTTAGTTTGAAAGAACACAGCTCTTTCCTCATCTTAATATGCTGGTCTGTGCCCTTCAAACTGAAATGGCCTTATGTATTAGCATAAGAGAAATCCTACAGGAACTAATCAATTCAGATCAATAACTAATGGGAATGCCTTACTTTTGTGCAGTTCCTACCACTGCCAGATCAACCTGTTATCGGAGAACCAGGCCCCAGGGCATTTTACACACAGCCTCAGGCTCCAGAGCCTCTGGACCACCTCTCCTAACTGGAAGAAAAAGCAAGGTAACATAAGATGGAGCTGAAAGAAATGTAGTCTCTGTTTTTCCTTTCCAAATTAGTAATCTAGCCAATCCTGTAAGAACCTACAGCATATCTCTCTGAATGATTTGTATGCCTGCCATAAATTGTATTTCCTACAAAACAGAATAAATTTGTCTCTGAACTTGTATGTTTCCTTTGGTTACGTCCCACAGGGATCGAGTAGAATGAACCAAAAGGTTACTACAGAAAGTCAGAGCATTACCAACCAGAGTGAGAATTTATCACATGGAGAACCTTCCCACATTCTCAATGAGGGTAAATTTGACAGAGTACAGAGAGTGATTTATTGAGTCTGAATGCTATCTATGAACAAACCCTGTTCATCTTGCTATTTTATCACTCAAACACTTAGCATTGCTTGTTACAGACTTTATTTATCTATTATCTGTTTGTTTGTTTCTTTTTCTTTCTATTTCTTTGTACACTAGCTCAGGCTGAAGTTATGCTTTTCTGGGCTGCATGTACACCATTGTAACATATGTCTGTGTGGACTGGGAGTGTTGTGTATCTGCAGGAACCCATGCCACATTAAACAAGGTTTAGAAAATGAGGAAGAACCCAGGAAATGGGACTAGATAAATATTTAATTGTAAAATGATATTTAGGGGTTTCAACAGGGATTAAAAATACACAGTTCTTTAACCCAAAAAGAAAAAAAGAGGCTGAAACCTGAAGAACAAAAATAGTCTTTGGAAAGAAGCCAAAAAAATATATTATTTTCACTTCCTCTGCTCATTTTTTTCTGTGCCGATGCTGAGCAGAATGATGATGGGTTATTAAACAGATACTACAAGCACTACTCCCCACACCCTCATTAGGTCATATTTTTTTAGATGTGTTTTTTTGGTATCACGCCTTAATTGAATAGCTGACAGCAAAGAAGGAAACAGAACATTGGGTGAGAGAGTGGTGTGATATGCAACACACCCGCTGGCTGTAATCAAACCAGGGGCATTGCAGTTTTGCACTGTGACCTTTCAGTTACTGGGCAGATATGTTATTGTTGAATCTGTGCAGGTCTTGAGGACCACTTTATCTAATTTGCCAACAAAGGAAATGAAGAGTTCATTAGAGTTTAGGTTTGTGAAGCAGATTCACCTTATACTTGCTGATGTGAAGTGTTAGATATAGGCACAAAACAACTAATGCCTATTTTATGAACTTAAATTGTGGTCTGCAAAAACATTTTCATCATACTTTGAACTAAACATTGGTATAATGAAACTAACTGAAACAGATTTTACCACAAATCTTCAGTGCAAAACTAGCTGCCATTACCTCAGTACCTGTGAATGGTTTTTGACACTAAATCCTCAAAGAGTAAAAAAGTTTTAATATAATAGTGGGGTTTTAATATACTTGATTTCCAGTGCATCTTTTCCCTTAGAGCATAGATGGTTACTTTGCCTTTTCATTTCTTCCAGATACTAGACATCAGTAAATGCATTAGAATCAACAAACTAACAAAATAAGAGTCCTCTTTCTCAGAACATGCTCTTTCAAGCACCTAATAACAGCTTTTATGGCTGGTAATACAGCATTCTTTGAGCATGACAGAATGAAAAAAATGGGATGATTAAAATTCCCTAATTCAGCTGAACATAATGTAGCTGGAAATATTCTCCTCACTGAATGAATGTAAGAAGCTCAGTTACTGAAATGCCTTCATTAATAAGGATTTTCACGGTGCATAATCAATTCACAGATATGCTTCTGGCAAGCTCTAATAACATTGTTGTTTGACTGTTTTGTGTTATAAAGCTTTTGTAATGTTGAAAGTACATTATGTAGGAGCATCTGGCAGTTTACAGCCACATCCCCCTAAAAAAAGAGCAGTTGACAAGAAGGGATCTAAGAAGCTGAGAGTCATCAGTGCTGGAGGAGAAAAGCAAACATCATCAAGTAAGTTGTATGCACTGTATAAACTCACCAGCCACTTGGACCCCATTTTGCCTTCAGCACTGCCTTAATTCTTTGTGGTGTAGGTTCAACCAGTTACTGGAAACATTCCTCAGAGATTTTAGTCCATGATGACATGTAGCATCACACAGATGCTGCAGATTTGTAAATTCCACATCCATGATATAAATCTCCTGTTCTACCACATTCCAAAGGAGCTCTATTAGAGATATGAGCTTTGTGTCACATATGGTCACACTGTGGTTATAAAGGGATGGATGATCATCAGCAATATTTATGTAGGCTGTGATGTTCAAACAATGCTCAGTTGGTAATAGGGGGCCTTAATTCAAGGGATACCGGAGCCATGCTTTTTGGTAGTTTATGCCAAATTCTGATCCTACCATCCAAGTGTAGCAATAGAAAGCAAGACTTATCAGATCAGGCAGGGAATTTTCAGTCTTCTTTTTCCAATTTTGGTGAACCTATACAAGTTTTAGCTGCAATTTCCTGTTCATAGCTGGCAGAAGCAGAACCTGGTGTGGTCTTCTGATGCTGCTGCTGTCTGTCTGTTTTAAAGTCTGACATCTTGTGCGTTCAGAATTGTTCTTCTGCATACCTTGGTTTCGTTTATTTGAGCTTATTTCAGTTACTGTACTTTGCCTTCCTATCAGCTCAAAGCAGCCTGACCATTCTCCTCTGACCTCTGGAATCAACAAGGCATTCCCACCCAGAGAGCTGCCTGCTCGGTGGATATTTGATCTTTTTCAGACAATTCTCTGCAAACTCTAGAGATGGTTGTGTGGGAAAATCCCAGCAGATCAACAGTTTCTAAAATACTCTAGCTCGTCTGGCACCAACAGCCATTCCATGTTCAGAGACACTGAAATCATTTTCTTTCCCCATTTTAATGTTTTATTTGAACATTTCATTTGCATGTCATCCTAACCATTTCTGTTGGCTATTAGTGATTACCTGATTTAATATTTTCATTAATGAGCTGGTGTGCCTAATAAAGTGGCAGTTGAGTGTATATTCTATGTGTGTTGTGGTGGGCTAAAGGTGTACTATTCTTTTATATTATTAGGTGTTTCAGTTATGGTTAACATCTCCTTGGGATGCTGTACCTCAGCACCATAGAGGGAATAGTGAAAGCTGGGAAAGCTGCAGTCCTTCATCCAGCAGGCAGGAGAGCAAGCACCAGCCTCTGACCCTAGCAGAAAAGTCAGAACATGTAGCCGATGAGGCTTAAAGCAGCCGTAAATAGACACCTGGAAGATGTGTGGTATCAGTAAAAGTTAAGCACGACAGCAAGAGATGGGAACACGAGACAAACTAGAGCAATGTACATGCTGGGTGATTTTGATGACTGCTTTGCATGTTATGATTTTAATAAGCACTTTGTTTATGCTTGAGAAAAACAATATGTGTTCCAACTCTTACTTTTTAAACTGGATTGTTGAAGTGTTGCATGAATTTTAAAAGATCTCAGAATCAGAATCAGAATCAGAATGGGTTTATTGCCAGATGTTGAGGTTTACAACATTAGGAATTTGCTGCGGTGCTTCAGTGCAAACAATAAGAATTAAAGTGCTATGTAGAAAGAAAGATATGTGCATGAGATATACATGAGATATATACATGAGAATAAGAATTAAGAGTGCTACGTAGAAAGATATATACATGAGTGCAGGTGGTGATCAGTGCCAGACATGAAATGATGCAGTGACACAGCGTAGGGTCATGTGTTAGTGGCGGGGACAGTCATGTGGTTATTGTTCATGTGTCCAACAGCAGAGGGGAAGAAACTGTTCTTGTGGCGAGAGGTTCTGGTGCGAATGGACCGGAGCCTCCTGCCTGAGGGGAGCAGGTCAAACAGACTGTGTCCAGGGTGAGAAGGGTCAGCTGAGATCCGGGCTGCACGCCGCAGTGTCCTGGAGGTGTACAGGTCCTGCAGAGATGGGAGTCTGCAGCCAATCACCTTCTCAGCAGAGCGCACAACACGCTGCAGTCTCTGTTTGTCCCTGATAGTGGCTCCAGCGTACCACATGGTGATGGAGGAGGTGAGGATGGACTCGATGATTGCAGTGTAGAATTGCATCATCGTCCGTGTTGGCAGGTTGAATTTCTTCAGCTGCCTCAGGAAGTACATCCTCTGCTGGGCTTTCTTGATGACGGAGGTGATGGTGGGCTCCCACTTCAGGTCCTGGGTGATGGTGGTACCCAGGAAGCGGAATGAGTCCACAGAGGTGATGGGGGTGTCAGTCAGGATGATGGGGGGGAGTGGGGCTGTGTGCTTCCTGAAGTCCACAATAATCTCCACTGTCTTCTGGGCATTCAGCACCAGGTTGTTGTGGCTGCACCAGGACACCAGACGTTCAACCTCCCTCCTGTAGGCAGACTCATCCCCGTCAGAGATGAGCCCAATGACGGTGGTGTCATCTGCGAACTTGATTAGCTTGACAGACTGGTGGGTGGAGGTGCAGCAGTTGGTGTACAGGGAGAAGAGCAGAGGAGAAAGAACACAGCCCTGAGGGGAGCCGGTGCTGATGGTCCGGGAGTCCGAGACATTCTTCCCCAGCCTCACGTGCTGCTTCCTGTCCGTCAGGAAGTCAGTGATCCACCGGCAGATGGGATCAGGCACATTCATCTGGGAAAGCTTGCCTCGGAGATGGTCTGGAAGGATGGTGTTGAAGGCAGAGCTGAAGTCCACAAACAGGATCCTGGCGTAGGTTCCTGGGGAGTCCAGATGCTGCAGGATGAAGTGTAGGGCCATGTTGATGGCGTCGTCTACAGACCTGTTGGCTCTATATGCAAACTGCAGGGGGTCCAGGAGGGGGGCCGTGAGGGTCTTGAGATGGGAGAGAACTAGGCGCTCAAATGACTTCATGACCACAGATGTTAGAGCCACGGGTCTGTAGTCATTTAGTCCAGTGATCCTAGGTTTCTTGGGGACAGGGATTATGGTAGAGGACTTGAAGCAGGCAGGCACATGACATGCCTGCAGTGAGGAGTTGAAGATGCCAGAAAACACTGGGGCCAGCTCGTTTGCACAGTGTCTGAGGGTGGCAGGAGACACACCGTCTGGGCCGGGAGCTTTCCGAGCATTCAGATTCTTAAACTGCTTCCTCACATCTGCTTCATGAATATGAAGAGTTGTGGTCGGAGGAGGTGGTGTGAAATCCTCTTTTGTGTGGGGTGAGGAGGGGGGTGTTCTAGGTGAACAGTTTGAAGGTGGTGATGGCTCTATGGAGGGGGGAGAGGTGGGGGAATGAGTGTCCAAAGTGCCTCTATTGTTGGGGTCGTTGGAGGTGTGAAGGCTGCCTGATGGCTCGTCAAAACGACAGTAGAAGTCGTTGAGGGTGTTGGCCAAGAGCAAGTCGTCAGTGGAGTGGGGGGTTTTAGGCTTGTAGTTTGTAATATTCCTAAAACCTTTCCACACAGAGGCCGAGTCATTCTCTGAGATCTGCTGCTGCATCTTCTCAGAGTGCTGGTGTTTGGCAATGTCCACTTCCTTAGTGAACTTGTACTTGGCCTCTCTGTAGCAGTCCCTGTCTCCGCTTCTGAACGCCTTACTCTTTTCCAGCCACAGCTTTTTGAGTTTAGGGGTAAACCAGGGTTTGTCATTGTTATAACTCACCCTGGTGCGTGATGGCACAATGCTGTCCTCACAGAAGTGGATATAGGAGGTGACAGTGTCCGTAAACTCGTCCAAGCTGTTAGAAGCAGCCTTCAATGTGTCCCAGTCTGTGGTCTCCAAACACGTGCGAAGCTCCTCCACAGCCTCGTTGCTCCACAGTTTTTTGGTCCTCACGACAGGTTTGGAGAGCTTCAGCCTCTGTCTGTACGCGGGGATTAGGTGGATCATGACGTGATCAGAAAGTCCGAGTGAAGCGCGCGGCACCGCGCGATAGGCCCCGCTGATCGTGCTGTAGCAGTGGTCCAATGTCCTCTCCTCTCTGGTCGGGCATTTAATATACTGCTTGTATTTCGGAAGCTCATGGCTCAGATTGGCTTTGTTAAAGTCCCCAAGAGCAATGATGAGAGAGTCCGGGTATGTCCGCTCCGTGTGGAGAAGACTCTCATTCTACATTGGACACAAGCTTTTCCCCCCTTTTTAATTTTGCATAACCTGTGTCAAAGCCACTTGTGGGATCCCTCCCCCACAAACTCTCCCCGCACTGCTACCCCACACACACACGGACACACCTATACCCACATTGTCCTTGTGAAGTGAGTGCATGTGTTCCGAAAGCTCAATTATGGATGTTTCTCCAGCAGTAAGCTCCTTTGCTGCAGCCCTGCCCACAGACGGAAAGCAGTTAGTTCATTAATGGTAATGTGGCGCATTAAATAAAAGTCAGAGGGACATCTCCTGGGCACAGGGTTTGCCACACAGTGGGCAATTAGAGAAAGTGATTATACTGTCGAGAGATTCAAATGTGCTCACTCATTCAAATTTAGGTGCCCCTTTCTGTGATCTCAGGCTTATCTCGCAGTATAAGGATTCATTGTTTCTCACATACCAACAGAAGTGGATGCAGCATTCATTAAAGGCTAAAACAAGCTTTTATTCTCTTTGCTATGTATATACATATATGTATATAAAGTTGGCATAGGTGACATTTCATCAGTGACAAATTAGCAGTAAAATGGTTTTCTTACTACTGATGTTTTTCTTCTTTCTTTGTCTATAACGTTTCACTGTACCTAATTAACCTAGCAGGGTTGTTAATAAGCAATACAAACATGTCGGTGCAGGATAACTTCATTAATGCTTATTTTGCCAGGTCGTTGAATGATTTGCAACCCTATTATATCGTTATTATGAATTTCGTGTGCACATATTCAAATCAAATTAGAATGACAGTAACCGTATGATTAAAAAGTAATAAAACAGTGATTTATTGCTCATTGTAATTTGACTCCATGTCTAATTGTTTACATGCGTTGTGAAAGACATACTTGGGAATTTGTACATTTAAAACTCTTAATAACATTTCCTTGCAACTATTCTTTTGTTACTTGATCTTATTTTATCATCTTTCATTTAGATGAGTGTCACACTCCTACAAAGGAAAGTTCAGCACTCATGGTCACAGAGTCTCAACTGTGCTCTGTGCAGCAAGGTTTGCCTTCTGACCTGAAGGTCTGGAACAGCTGGGAGAGTAATGAAGGGTCTGAGCCTCAGCTCACTCTGCAAAAGGAGGTGTTCACTTTCTCATCCCAGCCTCACTCACCCAAACGAGGACAAGGCCAGGGTGACCAGGAGAAGATGGAGATGGGAGATAATCAGGTTCAGAGCAAGATTGGGAGGCGGTATGATGTCCAGCCCGAGGATGACTTTATTGGCAGTGAAAGTGATGAGGTATGTTAAGGGAGAGACACAAGCACACTGTTCTTTGAGTTCACACACACACACAAAGTGCCCCTGTCTTGCGGGGACACTTAATGATTATCTGTCAAGCAAAAACTGCTTTATATTACATGCACTACTAGTTTGACATGGAGTAGAAATGAAAAACTATGTCTAATTCACTAAGAAATCCTTCAAAATGCCCAAAGTTTGATTTATCTCTGTTTAATCAGAGTAAGTTTGAAGTACTAGCTTTAATTTCACTTTAAATTTTTTGGTGAGTAGTATTTCATATTGCACATTTCATATTATGCATCAAATTTTCACTTGAAAGGTCAGTGTGGTTATTTATCATCAGATAATTTATTAATGGCTCTGAGACTTGTAACAAAAAGCGATGATTTTCTTTATGCTTAGCAAGGAGATTAAACTATGATCACAAAGAATGATCTTCAAAGACATGCTAATTACTTTTACTCATTTAAAACTTTATAATAAATCTTATAATTCAAAATTAATATCCTTGTTGTGATTCTACAGGAGACAACTCAAATGCAGAACACTGCGCCAGGATTAATACAAAAGCTGAGGCTTTATTGACTGGCAATAAAACATGTCATGTACTTGGTAAAACAAAATAGGAATCCAGAAAGGGGCATAAGAAAAATAGAGACAAAAAATGAAGGAGGGACAGGCCAAAGTATACACAGAGATCCAATAAGAAAACAAAAAACAGGTGGAATCGGTGTTGGGAAGACAAAGACAGAATGTAAAGTTACAGGAAACAAAGAGGAAAATCAATTACCAAAAAAATATGAAGCAAACCCCAGAAATGAACAGGAAACTAACACACATACAAATTCGAGGAGATATGTTGAATCAATTACATTATGTAAAGTTAAATTCAAGGTTTTATTCACGCTAGGCTGTACCAGTTCCTTTAACAAATATGATCACTGCTACTGTGTGAGGAGCGCATGTTGTCTGTCCAAGATGTGGGCATATGTTTTCTGCCCAAGCATGAAACTCAAACACCCATTGCCTCTGAGAAAGTCAATGCATTAAGTAATTTATAAATCTGTAAGGCATGTGAGAGAATAGTGTGTCGCCGCTCAAAAAAACAAAACAAAACCCTGTCCAAATTAAGACACAAAATGCATAAAATTGTGAACCTCATTGTGCTCACAAGAGTGCTTTTCAAAAGCGTGTGTGCATGAAATGGGGAGAAAGCTTATTGAGATGCTGAGACAAATTGATGCGTGCTCAGGCCTGGATCATAAAGCACAGTGTGAGTGCAGTCCAGCAGACAAGGGGGAAGGGAGTACAGTCGTGCATGGGCACAGTACAAGACAACCATGTTTAGTGTGAACAGCACATCTTAAGAAACACAAGGCCAGTGATCTTACAATATCAAACTCAACACTCTTTTTGTTTTATGGCAGTTTTAAATTAATGCATTATATCTACAAGGTTAGCAACTACATTGAATAAAAAAATATTAATAGTGCATGTTATGATTTTGTATTTTGTATTGTAAGAGCTTCTCCTAAGGCTCACATTTATCACTGACATTGTGTACAGATCTAGATGTACATGTTGAAACTGAAGAGCCAGGGTTATTGTATTGGGAAAACAGTAAAACAGATTGGTTTCAAAAAATGAATCTTTTATAGTGACCTTTGTAAATTGCATGTATAACCTTTCTTCCATAAAGCTCTTTCCAGGTTGAACATTTCTTTAGAATTTGCATGAAATATTGGTTTGGAGAATGGTTTTATAACTACTTTCACCTCTGTCAAAAGAGCACAGCCATTTCAACTTCCTTGGCTGCCAATTTATAGTGTTTGTTAAATAATCTAATAAAGGGCCTATCAGAACACATATAAAGAATAAAAGAATACTGTAGGGATTTATTGCCTCAGCATTGGGCATTGTATAGTTAGTGCAGCATGCTTTTTCTGTTGTTTCTTTTCTTTTTCTTTTTTTAAAGACCTCAGTACCCTGCTGTCCAAACCAGAACAATGTGTGTGAACACTAGACTGATTGAAAAAGTACCTATAAGGTGAATTGTAAAACTTTTCTTGTTTACTACTTTTTTTCTTTATCTTTGCTCTTTTTCCAAAAGGCATTGCTTTGTCTCAATATTATTTCTATCTCTGCCACCGTGCTTTGGGGAAACTGAGTTTTCAGTAATTGTGTTTAACCGTTAAGGTTGACATCTACATACAAAGAAAAGGAAATTATAACAATTCACATATAGTAATGTCACTTCTTAATACAGAGTTTGTAATCTGTTTGCATTAAAATGCTATTTTGGGGGATTTATAATAGCGCTATAATAAAAGGTTAGCAATGTAAAGGCATGAAGACATTTATTTTTGTGGCTGGCCTCATTGCACATGCATTTTCAGGAGTTTCTTTTTCAGAGTAGAAACATTTGGGAAGGGAGAATTGAGAAGTCAGTCTTACAGCTGTAATTTACTGAGGTTTGCGGTAGGCAGTTTACTGCTGT